CAAAAGGAGAAGAGGACGGCAGAGGATGAGATGGTTAGCATCACTGAAGCAATGAGCATGAAACTGAGCAAACTCAGGGAGGCAGGGAGGGACAGAAAGCCCTGGCGCAATATGGTTCATGGAGTCACGAAGAGTCGGACACGACTTAACGACTAAACAACAACAACAACAATAATAACAATATAGTAGGCAGGATCAAATAAAAACAATGGTAATTTTTATGATGGCAGTTAGAACTCTGTTCACACTTGACTATGTATTTGCGATTCCTAACTGAAAAAACATGGAAAATGCAAAACATTTTGATGATACCTGACTGCCAGGTTTGTAAGAAATTATATGTTTAGTGCAACCTGAGGTGTGTGGGCAATGACCATGCATCTCAAATCTGCAGAATTGCAAATCACTGTTTCTTCTGTGGGAATGCAAATGATCTGAAAAGTATCCGGAAGCTCCAGTTGGTTTAGAATGCGACGGCCCGCATAGTTTTGTGCAAGTCTAGATTTGCACACGTGTCACCTCTCTTGCGGGAGCTGCATTGGCTGCCGATTTGCTTCCGGGTCCAATTTAAGATGCTGGTTATTACCTTTAAAGCCCTACATGGGCCAGGTTATTTGAAAGAATGCCTTTTCCCAGTTTCATCTGCTCGACCCACTAGACCAGGGAGGCAAGGTGTGTTATGGGTCATCATCCCCACAGAGATCAGACCGGCCCCCACCTTGATGCTGTTCTGCAAGGCCCTGAAGACGTGGTTTTGCCAGCGGGCCTGGTGATCCCAGGTCGATCCGGAGCCCATTAAATGGCTAGTATAAATGTGTTGTTGTCGCCAGGGGGGTTGGGGTTGTAGTGGATTTGGTATTTGGTATTTTTATTCTTGTAAGCCGCCAGGAGTCACCATGAGTGAGTTGGGAAGCCATATAAATTGCTTAAATAAATAAAAATAAATAAATAAATTAGTTCTTGAATTATATGGCAATATAACTGCTTAGGTCTGATGACAACATAGCTTGGGTTGACTTTGTTAATTACTGCATGACTCAGGAGGGTTGGAAACTCAAAGGGATAGAAAACCAGAATTCAGCAGGCACTAGGAAAAAAGCCTCTAATAGGTGGAAATGTTGCTCCATAAATCCTAAATTGGAACATAAGTAGCTATCTTCTAAATATCAGATTATTGGTGCTTTAGTGCAATATTATCTACTTTGGCAGAATATCTTCTAAAAATCTGCAGCAGAGGGAGAGATTAAGATTTATCCATCGGACTAAGCCATATTTTGCTTATTCATGATTTGCTGAAGAAGCCACAATTCCTTGGGTTACAAATCCCAAAGGCTAAGTTCACACACTCAACCAAAACAAAAGCAAAGCAAATGTAATGTGATTCGTCTTCACTGTGAATTGCTAAACTGTGATTTGAAGCTGAGTAGGTAATATGTGGAGTGGAAACCAGGATCAAGCTCTGGCAAATTGCGGTTTGCATCAAATTAGGAAAATCAGTACACATTGGGAGAGGATTGAATAAATAATGCAGAGGTTCATTTAGCTCATTCTGATGCTGTTAATTTAGCATTATGTCTAAAAAAAGAAGCCAATACAGTAAAGCTGTGTTACTCAACTGGGGAATTCTGGGAGTTGAAGTCCACACATCATAAAGTTGCCAAGGTTGAGAAACACTGCAATAAAGCATACAAAAAGTGAGAGGGGTAACCAGAACAAATTCTTTCCCATTCCCAAGCTAGCAACTGAACTAATAAGTGTTTCCTTTAAGAAAAAATACTTTTCACATGCCAATCACCTCATAATTTATATTCATTTTAATTAGGAATTAAAATGCAGCTAAATATGCTTTTTGAAAGTTGCCTATATTAAAGGTGCAGTAGGATTTCAATAAAACATGTATAGGATAGGTGCATCCATTATAGTAGTATTTCTCTTTCAAAAACGGATTGTATTGGTCATAGGTTATTCCCACCAAAATGTATTTTGCTCCTTCTCTTTTTCTCCACCCTCAATGTTTTTTCCCGTTAGACACAAATGCATATAACATTTATGAGTATGATTTAGTCCACATTCCATGGTCGTATTTCTATCTTGAAACTGCGAATACCAGAAGTAATTGCTGTTTATCTGAGAATCCGAATATGCCCCTTGGTCAAGTTGTGATGTTTGCAGGACCAGTGTTGTTGACCTTATGGTTATACTGTGCCTCATTGTTACTTTTTTAAAATTTCCATACCAGCAAAGAAACCTATGATGAATTAAAAATTGTGCCATAGGTATTTAATCACATTTGTATAGCCTCCCATCTCACATAGTGACTCTATTGTTCTCTCCTTTAAAGATATTAGTGACATAATTGTCCTCTCCTTTAAAATGCTGTGACCATGAGATCTTTTTTTTAAATTTTAGTTCAACAGACTAAATATTTTTTGAGTGGTATAAAGCTCATCCGAAATGTACCTGAAATATTCTGGAATATCAGAGTAATAGGATTATTGAAACATAGCCTAAAAAGCTTGATTAGGGAAAAAAAGAGACAATCTTCATCTGTTATTGATCTAGCATCAACACATGGACTAAAGGAAATACATCTTATTTCAAGCTCTTAGGAACAGATCCTGAGTCTCTCTTTAATCTGACATTTTGAGTTGGCAATTCTCAGTGCGAGGCCCACGCATGTTCATGGGGGCTGAGATTGGCACAGTTCTTTAACAAATGTGTGCACATTTTGTTTTTGTTGAATGTACCATAGGCCGAATACCATGTAACTAGAAGGATGTCTGCAACTATTTATCCTTCTCCCTCTTATAAATTCTCATGCTTACAGAAAATAGGAAGATGGAGAGGGAGAGTCAGAGAATAGCCTTGCCGCCAGGAGTAAAATAAATTTTTTTAAAAAATTCATTCCTAGGTGCTTGTATAAAATATTAGACATATAGGTGTCTTTTTCTAGCCCATAGGTATAGCAGCCAATTGCAAAAATGTAAGACGAGAGCAAGCTTCCTTCCAGATTACATTGCAGTTATGAATCTGAATCAGCTTTTTGCTATCTTCCTACAAAAGTTCGTCTCTATGCAGTTATTATGAGAGTGGGTTTAGGAATAGGAAATTCCCTTGCACTGCTCCATCTAGACTAGTATTGTTGATACAGACTGGTAATTGTCCTCCAGGGTTTCTGTCAGGAGGTTCCCCAGCCCTACTTAGAGACATTGGAAATGTCTTTCTGCATACAAAGTAGGTGATTTAGCACACAGTTAACTATGGCTGAATAACAAAATATGCTTCTTTGTGTTCCTTGTTCCAGGTGGGCCACACATTGCCTCCTTTCCTGCCGCTGAATTTAGTAACACAGGCTGGCCAAACTGCAGTGTAAAGCAGATCAGATAGCACACATACATACCCCTTTCAGCCTCTTTGGAAGCTGCTGTCAGCTCCCCGTGACTTGGACTGGACAATGGCTTCTTCTGAGCTCTGGGCAATCGACTATGAGGTTTATGGGGAAGTCCAAGGTGAGTCTAGATTTTATTTCTTCCCTTTGTATAATTCTTGCACTACTTGCTATGGGATTTTTGTATCCTGATATGATTGCTTGGCTTTCCAGTGGGTTACTCTGCAAATAGTACAGTCCTTGAAATAAGATGCCTGCAGCCTGCTTGTCCAACTGCAGAATCTTGCTTCAGTTCTAATTGCAATAAAATAGCCTGGAACTGCTTGAAAAGCTATCTGCAAAGACTCCAAAGGAACTTAATTTAAGCCGATACACAGGGGGGATGTATGAAGGAAGTTAATTGGGAGCATTAACTTAATTTAATGATGAATCTACATATCATAGAGCTGACTATGGGAGGCTGTTTCTCTGTAATACTGAGATCTGGGCCATTTCAGGGAGGGAGGCTGAGCATCTTTGATTCAACCTCATTTAATTTGAACATACACAGCCCCACATAATCTATTTTAAAAATAACATGATGTGTGACATTCAAGAAGTCACATAGCTTCATCTGGGTTTGGGGGGGTGCATACTTAAAATCTAGGGTCTGTTATGCTTGCCTTTTGAGGGGTTTCTACCTGCCTCTTGAAGTTCAGATAAGAGATTGTTTTCACAATTCTATATCTAGTCACTTCATGACTGAGGTAGCATATAAACTGATAAAAATATAAACAAATAAATAATGTAATGGGCCAGTAAAAGCTCTTATCTGCAACTCCTGGCTATTAGTTTGCTTATGGTAATGCCATAGAATGTTTAATAGTATTCTAATAATTCAACATAATATGTCTATAATAGAAAATTGATCAAGAATATGATTTCTATGATGGAAATGAAGGTAAAAAGGTAAAAGGATTTCACAGGAGACATACCAACAGAAAGTACCATGGACTGTTTGTAGAAAAGAAGTTAGAAAGCAAGATCTTTTGGAGGGTGGGAGACCACAGTTGTGTTGATCTGAATTCTGGATTATAATCCACAGTATTAAAAGACAACAACACACAGCCTGCTTTACCTGTTTTATGAGTAGATAAACAAATCAGGTAGGGATGGTTTAGTAAGGTGTTTAACCTGGATTAGGGTTTATTATACCTAAAGAAACTGGGATTGTAAACCAGTTAACTCCACAGTGCTGGATCCTGCAAAATTGGGGAGCAAGAATTTATTTCTTCTGTCATATATGACCCTATGATGCGGTAAAAAGGTTCTATTCACATAACAGCATTTATGAAATATTCATCAGTCTTTGATTGCAGACAAATGATTGGTGGTCCTTCGGGAATGTCCCAAGAAAGCCGTAATTCGGTTGAATCAGTTGTACCTATGTCATCTTAAGATGGTGATCTCTAAAGACAGTCTTTGCATCTTGGGGGCTTCAAGATGTGCTATAATCTCCATTGATCCCATGCTGGCTAGGGACCATGGCAGGGCATCTGGAGAGCAGTGGGTTGGAAAAGATTACCATAAGAGATGGAGAGTCTTGAGTGATGGACAGCCCAGCAAAACAGAGAATGATTGGATTCCTTGCTTCAGATATTTTAATTGCCCACCATTGGGCGGTTTTATTGGTGCTTTGATTTTTTGTTGTGGGACACTCTGGTTTATAATCTTTACTGCAAGAGCCCAAAGGCTCACTTATGACACTCACTTTGGAAATACAGTAGATATTTGTTTACTAATGTGTAGCTATAATCACTTGACTGACATCTATCTCTTTCCTCTTCTAGGTGTCTTCTTTAGGAAGGTAAGTTGTATCCTTTTTAGTATGTGTTTAACATATGTTATAAGGCATCATGGCAAGATGAGGGAGGGACCAGTGTTTCTATTTTAACTGTACAGTACTGGGTTACCTAAAGAGAGCTGCAAGTACCACACCATGCACCATCTAAAGCAGGGTTTCTCAACCTTAGCAGCTTGAAGATGTGTGGACACTTCTGCACACATCAAGCAATGCTGGCTAGGGAATTCTGGGAGTTCAAGTCCACACATCTTCAAGTTGCCAAGGTTGAGAAACTCTGATCTAAAGAAAAGCATTATTGTTCAAGTATACTCCTCAAGCTAGCTTCAGAAGCTTGTACTCTTGGATATTAGTCCAGGGTTGGAATCATGGGAACAATAGCAGAGAAGCTGCTCATATCAGTTATCAACAGAGGTTGGGGATTTGGAAGCAAGATCAGGATGAAAGGAACAAGGCAGGCTGAACATTTAACAGCAAGCCATGAGCAGATCACACTGAATAATTTCAGCACAAGTATGGGACATTTGTATATGTCTTGGCATTAAAATATCTGCTGGAAAAGAAAAAAAATGTTATTGCAGCTGGAGATTCCTCAGTTTTGTCATGGTCTTGAAAGCCTCAGGAATGGTTTCCTTCTAAATTTGAGCAAGCTGATATCTCCATATTAATTCTATAACCCATAGGCCATCCTAGGGAAAATACAGCAGAGCTCCAAGCTGAAAATCAGGCTACTGCATTGTTGTTAAGCTACATTTCTTCAGTTCCTTCATTCCATTAATACCTGAAGGCACTATCATTTGCCTGTCTGAAATAGTCGTCACAGATCATACATAACTGATGGAGCTTTTGTGTAACCTTGAATAATCACAAAACCGGTATTTCTCAATGAAGGCAGTTCATATACTTAGCTAGAGTCATCAAATGGGGAGATACTGAGCAACGTATACAGTATGTGAGTGTGAATAAGCTTCAGACTATCTTGGGAGCATTCCTGATGGTGATCTCTATTTTTTTTCCCCCACTAGTACACAGAAGAGCAAGGGAGAAAGCTAGGACTGGTTGGCTGGGTGAAGAATACAGCCCATGGGACTGTAACTGGACAGGTGCAGGGGCCAAAGGAGAAAGTAGAGATTATGTAAGTAAGGGAACCTGGGGTCCTTCAGTTGGAATGGTTTTGCTGAAACAAGTGGGGTGATAGTGCCTAACCATAAAAAATAAAGACATACGGTGATGCTACTTGGATTGCTTAAGTGTCTCAGAGAATATAGTATGGAGAAGGGGAAAAGAGCTTCACGTGTCTCCTGGAATTGCCAGGACAGTTTGAAACTGAAGACCAATTTTGGAATTTGAGTGTTCTTTGAAATCCAGTACAAGTCAGCAGGAGTGAAGTAGGATTTGCTTTTTTTCTGCACTTGCTGGCCAAATAGAGAATACCTTTGGTCATGAAGATGTTCCACCACAGGCCTGTAACTGTTGACTATCTGAGCTAGTACTAGACTGTTACTGCTAATCAAAGTGCTAAGTAATTACTTCTGCAGTAATCCACAAAGTGCTGAATACAATGTAGAGTTATTTATGTTCCTCTCTTGATCAGAGTTTGTTCTGTTTTTACTTTTTGGTGAAAAATTAAGATTTCCAAGTTAAGACATGAGGCCAGTGTACCATTTCCAACCATTCTTGCTCTTGCTACTGAAAGAGAAAGTTCAGAAGTCCTGTTCTGATTATGTTCCACATTAAACAGCATCAACCAACTTTGTATCTTAGAATCATGTGTCATAGTTACTTTTGTTTACATCCTTATAACAAGAGGGGTATTTCTTATGGATTGCTCTTTCTGAATGTCTCCTCTGGTTTTCTCTTGGTGGAAAAGAAACTAGTGGAAAGGATAACTGGTTTTTGCAATTGTGATCTGAAGATAGCCCTGTAGCAGCAATTTACAGGATTCTTTCCCCTCCACTTATCCTCCATTGAGAATGTCTATATAGGGTACCTCTCCAGACTCTCCTTCCACAGTGAATTGACACCCTTAAATCTAGGATTTGGGTCAGCTTGCAATTAGAGAACTGGTCCAGGAGGATATGAAGAAAATTGCTTTATGAATTTTTGAGCCATAGCAAAGGTGATTCTGTGTGGGGGAGGGGGCGGGGGTGGGAGGAAAGCCAGAGCAAGTAAGAGAAAGCAGGGTCTGGGTTTGGGGTGACCCATTGGCTTCCTACTGTGTTGGTGAAGCAACTTCTGCAACAGTGCTCTGTCACCTTTAGAAAGATGACAGCCAGAGGCAATTACTATAGCAACCAAATCTTCTATCACCTTGAAGAAAGAGAGAGAGCATGGAAAGAAAAAAAAATCTGGGACAGTTGCCATAGCAACCTGCCTCTACATATTGTCTACCTTCATGTCTCAGGGGGAGGGGGAAATTGGGGCCATTTCCATAGCAACTGCACTACTCCATCCCTGGCTTTGAGGAACAAGGGATAAATAGGAAGGAGATAATCCATAGCAACAGTATTCCTCAATGCACATTCTTTTCCCCCTATCCTTTTCTCCTCCCAGGTCCGGACAGGATAAAAAAGCAAAGGTGTAAAGCCATCAATGGGTGGGAATAAATAGACAGCCCTTCGGTTTTTGAAATGGAACACCAGCTGGGCAAATTTATTGTGCGTGGGCAGTGTGCAGAAAGTTGTTTTCTTATGTTACGTGGGAAAACTCATTCATAGGTTCTTTATATAACATGATACTTATAACTTTTCTTTAGATTTCACAGGTGTGGACTGCTGACATCAGTAGGGTGCTTTTATATTTTTTTGTTTAAAAATCAAACAGCTATATCCATTTCAGTTTTGATGGTTGCAGCTCACACAGACACGCATATTAGGCATAGCCTTCCAACTGATAGCTATATTTGCCTCTCCTTCAGTTGCTGCTAAATTGCAAATGTAAATTATTGTAAAATACATGGGGAGTGGTCATAGTGACTGTATTTAATTTGATTTTAATTAAATGAAAATTAAATCCCATTTACGTTATATCTTGCCCCACCCTCTCTTTAAAGTACAGAACCCAGCATGCCACTGAAAGATGGGATTTGCATGTTATGCACAAAATCTTAAACTCAGTTAAAAGTGCAATTTCTGTGATCGTATAACATGCATACCCAAAGAAATAAACCACATTCTAGCTTAGTGTGATGACCTCATTCATGCAAGCCAATAACTGGGTTCCTACAACATTAAATTATGCAATTCCATTTTAGCCTGGTCTAGCATGCTGTATGAACCAAACCCAAACTTCAGCCCAGAAAAGATTGAATGATCTAAAAACTACCAATGTTACAATGATAAAAGTTTTTTGTGATAAGATAGTACATTTAATCTAAGCCAAAAGGCTGAGAAGTTTTTTGTGGAATACATCTATTTTATCAGACACATAGTCCATGAAAATTGCTACCACAGTATTTGTTTAGTCTTAAGATGTTACAAGACATTGGTTTTGCTGTAACACACATATTCAGAACTCTTTGGGAAGTTATTTTAAATTTAATAATCCTGTTTCTTTCCCATTTCACTTATTACATTTAGTGCTGAAGCCAGCATATCTGTTTTCTTTTGTCCCCAAAGTAAGATTACAAAGTGATCCAAGGCCATCCAGTTGAGTTCATGGCTCAATATTTATTTATTTAATTAATTTAAAAGACTTGAATGACCACCTATCTTAAAAAACACAACTCTGGGTGGCTCACTACAATATGAGGTTTGAACTTGAGTCTACCTAGTTTTACTCTACCAATTATGCACTTTTTTCCAGCTCAGGTTATAAAATGACAAGTATATTTTAGACATCCCTTCTACCATTTTATGCTCCAAAATCATACAAAGACATCAGAAAAAAGAGGCAATATAGATAAGCTTCATCCCGCTGAATTCTCCTTTAAGATGGGGCAACGTAAACATTTGACCTCAAAGGAGAGGAATTGGGGGGGGGCAATGTTAAAAGAGGCTCTGAAAAAGCCTGTCTGATCCCTGGTTTTGCAATTGTGAGGGAATTTATCCCACTGCAATTATGTAAGGCTCCTTATTAATTCTTCTCCCCATTTTTTTTTCTATAACATTATTTACTTCTCCAACTTAATTGGAGCCATTTGTTCTGCTGGCAACTTTTGGCAGTGTACTTCTTTCCTTTCAGTGATTCATGGTGAGCCTGTATCAAAATGTCTAATAAACGTTGGCCCTGCCTTCCAACAAATGTGCGCATTGCACCTGATGGCTTTTTGATTCTGTGAATAGTCACATTCCTGCTATGGCAATGTGGAGGGTAAAACGGGAAAAGAAGGTAACACCTGTGCATTGTTAATTTTTGCTTCTTCCTCCCCCCTCAGGAAGAACTGGCTACGCAGCGTAGGAAGCCCCATGTCTCGCATTGATCAGGCCGTGTTCTCTAACGAGAGGCAGATTACCACCCTGGAGTTCCGGTCCTTCACCACCAAGTATTAAAGGCAGTCGGCTGGTGCAGATGGGATATGGCTATTTCTAAGTACAATGAGCGCTTTTCTACTCAAAAGGAAGTATCACCTTCCCTTTCAAGAACAGGATGTGTTGTTCCTGCTGCTGCTGACATTAAATTGTGCTTTAGACCCATGGCATCTCCAAGCCTCTCGACTCTTCCAGGCTGCTGGTGAACTGGAAAGCGCCTGCTGCCCTTGAACATCTGATAAAACATCACCTATCCACTGTTCTTTTTGCGCCTTTTTTTACAGTTGGTACAGAGGTGGTAAGGGAAAGAACTAGAGATGGAAGGAAATGTGTCCTTTCTTTCCCAATGTGTTCACAAGCATGTTGGACAGTTGCCTTTTGAGCAAACATATAAAAAAAAAAAGTTTCACGCTTGCTCCCTGGAAGCATTTTGCTTCTTTTCCTTAACAATAATTAACACCCAAACCCAGCAAAGAATATTAGCTCATTCAAGAGCTAATTATCTTTGAAAGAAAGCAAAACTGTCTTTTTTTTCAGTAGAAACTAGGCAAGCTCAGTATCCCTGCAGAACCTTTTTGGAGAAGAAAGATAATATTTGTTTCTGGGGAAGCTCAATGAAGACCAGAGAATGGAGGTAGGAAGATTGAGAGGAGCAATGATATAGTACTGGTGGCATGGGTGGCTTGCTCTGCAGCTCTTATGGTTCAGCTGCATGATGTATTTAAATAATTAATGTGGATTTCTCTTTTTCCCTGCTGCAGTTGAAATGCAGAGACTGTCTATTTGTGAAAGTGTTCTGATTATCTGTCCACTTCCCCGTGCTACAAAAGAAGCTTTTCCTCTGTTATATTTCACAATTTCTGTGTGCTAAGAGTATAAACGATAGAATATGGAATAGAGAAAGAACAGGGAAAGAAACAATATAACTCTCAAATATATTAGCAGAAAAGTTGACCCAGCAAAGCAGTTTCTACTCCTGACAGCTGTTCATTGAGTTATTCCTGCATCCTGTTCTTGCCTAATCTTTTGCGGTCTCTAGCATTATGGATGGAATAACAGATTTTCTGGTTTGGAAGAAAACCTTTGAAGCTGCCAAGATTGTGAAAATGACAGGCAAACGGAATGCCAAGTGTTCTTTGAAGTCTGAAGATGGGGTGTGGGTGTAGTTCTTGCTGTGGGTTTTTAAAGCAGATAGGATTTGATGTTTCTGGATGTGGGGGGTTTGTAAACTCATATAACATGCCTTCTGCAAAGACCCTTGCTTCATCACAGAGACCTTCTAGCCCAAGTGTTCATGTGCAGTATTTACCACCTTCATTTGGCATCATTTATATTGAACGCCTTCACCAGCTTTTTTTTTTTTGTTACTGTAGTTGGTTTTCCTTGAAGAAAATAGCCCTGGAATTTAACAGGTTATGGTATGAACAGTTGGCTTGCACGTACTGGAATTGCATTTGGGTTTTGGAGATACCAAATTTATCTAGGCATATATGCAATGAAGCAATATGATAGAGAAGACTATCATTAGACAGGCAAAGGGTGAAAAATGAAATCAAAATCCTTTATAGCAAATGTCAGCTTGGAAGGAGGAGGAGCACCCCCCTCCTAATCTGATTTAAAAAAAAAAAAAAAGCACAGGTTATTGCAAACTTGGGATTCAACCAGGCATTTTAACTTTAAAGATTCTGTCTAAACTGGATGCAACTTTAAAATTTAATATCTGTACAGAATCTACATCTTTGAAGGATGGGATCCCAGCAAAACAAGAATTGTTCTGCTTGGTCAAATACACCAATCACCTGTTTCAGCACTCTGCCTTTCACTAGTGCTAGATGCTCCAAGGATGCTCATGCACAAGACAGTAAGGTAAGGTGGAATGTATCCCTTCTCCTTAGTCCCCAGTATTTGGAACCCATGTCTGATTTGTGGCAGGTATAGCATTCTCTTTACCCATGGTCTTTTTTTTACAAGATGTCACTTTCTGTAAGGGGATTAGTTTTCTGCAGTTGTTAAAACAGCCCCCTACTTTAATCATTGTGCCTCCAACATAATTTGGTTTCGGGTCAGCCACCCTCCCCTTGGTTATAAGGAAAGGGCTTTATTCTGGTGTTTGGGATGTTAACACCATTGCATCTTGGCAGAGTTAGTGGTGTGCTGTAGGAATAAGGATTATTTAATTTTTAATAGATATTTGAATCTGTAGTAGAAGATTCTTGTAATTTTCTGCAGAACTAGAAGGTGCTGAAATTAGAAGTAGCTTGGGCCATCCAAAGGCCCTACTTTTGACTCACTTCACTCATGCTGGTTTCCTTCTTAGGAACTTGCCATAGAAATAAGGATGTTTATCTAAATTCGGTGGCTGGGCTTATAGTACCACATTAAGCTATGCCTTCTTTAAGCAAAAAAAATGCTGTTAAACTAACTGGGTTTTGTGCAACACTCTAAACCAAATATAAACCACATCAGGGCTTGCAGCGATGTATTGCCGACAATGCTGACTGATGTTCTCCAAGACTTCAGATATGAGTTCCCCAGTTTTACGTGGCACTGCTACAGATTAAAGCTCCGCATCTTTTGCACACAAAGCTTATTTGCTATCACTGAGCCCCCTCCCTTCTTGCATATTCCGGCTGGGTTTGCACAACATGCTTCCCCTGGGATAACGGATCCAGATTTACTGAATCAACTCAATTACCTGCATGCACATAAAACACTGAACTGTTATGTCATGGTGCTGGTTCTGTACTACACATTAGCCAAACGCAAAGCCATTATGCTAAGCCATGATTGCTTAAATATAGTACTGAATAAACAACGATTACCTAAAATCAATCCCCCACATATGCAAATGGCAATAATTATTAAGCAAGATTTGTGACCTAAATGAAACGCTGAAGTTTAGCATTAGTCTACTTTCAGTCTAATATGTGTAGGTGGCTCAGGGGACCTTGGACTGGGCACCACCGAAAGGCACTTAGAAAACACCCGAAAATCTAGCCGAACGTGACCAGGACCTTCCGTCTCCCCTCTCCCCAGAAGAGCGAAGGCCACGTGTGAGCCCGGCCTGGCTCCCCCAGCGGCTACGTGTGAATGGCGGGGAACGCGCCCAATAGCTGATCCGGCCTTGTGGCTCGGAGGCGGGGGCTTCTTGTCAAACCGAGCCGGGCTGAGTAGCCCGTTCCGCAGCCAGGGCTGGCGGTGCGCCTCCATCGAGAGGTGGAAGGAGCGGCGGCGGCATCCTGCTCGCGCGCCTGGGCTCTTCCCGGCGCCACCTGTGATGCTGG